GCGCTTTTTTTGCAGAGTGGGTGGCTTGCCGAAGAGAATCATCTCAGTACCTCATGGTTACTAGTATCTGACAAATGCCTCTTATTGCTAGTCTGCATTAGAGCATAGCAGAATTGATCATGTCACAAATACTAGTAGTGTCAAGACTTGATGTGCTACGATTGTACTCAGATCATGTGGCAACTTCACGGTAATTCTTCCTGCCACTTTACGCTCTCCCGGAATTGCCTGCAGAAGGCACGTGCCTGTGCAAGGGACAACGCGTTTGCATTGCTTACTGATGCAAGCGGATGGAGTGCAGAGCAGATAAGAAGACATAATCTGGCTATTCAAATAGCTTCGGCTGCTATTAATTGGCTGGACTCCTGGATACATCGGATGATAATGACCAAGACAGCTGCCTATGTCTCTCTCTCTTTCCCTCTCTCTCTCCCCCCCCCCCTCTCTCTCTATCTTCATTTATACATGTATCTATCTATCTATCCAATCTGGGGACCGAACTGTTTCGTCCTTTGTGGACTCATTAGCACAGCACAGAGAAATGAGGCCGAACCTGATTGCAATGAAAAATAAATTCCAAAGCCATATTTAAACCAGGGCCGAATATACTGTGCCAAAAATATCTCTATCTATCTCTATCTCTTTATCTCCTTGAGGGCACACTGGGTCCCCTGTTTTCGCAATTCTCCACCTTCTCCACCTATCAACTCCCTTCTGTGTGTGTGTGTGTGTGTGTGTGTGTGCGTGCACGGGTGCAGGGTATATGCGCACATATCTTTCCTTCTCTTCCTGTCTTTACTTGGTTTGTGAATTGGCTTTTTAATCGTATCTTTTTTCGGCTCACTGTTTTATGAGTTCACCTCACTATACGTTTTGCACACAGTACACCAGTGGTACAAGGCTGGTTCATTGCCCAGTGCAATCATCAGGCAGCACAGGCAAGCAGTCAGGCAGCATTACAACAAATCAGCTTTGCTTCACTCCTGTAGTGTCTACTACACTCTGCTTTCGCCGCATTCGACAACTCTCAGCACTCTAGATCTGTGTGCATTATGCTGCTACCTACTTGTATTATACTACTTCAGTATTAGAAATCCAACGAACGAAATCTCTCGTATCTGTGTGTCTCCACATGTTTCTCTGTCTGTCTGTCTCTCTATTCTATTAATCTCTCTATCTATCTGTCTGCCCCTCTCTCTGTGTCTCTGTTTCACCACTCAGCCCCACCATTGCATTATTATCGCTTTTTCATGATTTTTACAATTGTGTTAGAGCACACAGCACTCGATGCAACATTTACCAGTGACTAAATAACTCCGCGTCTCCGACCATAACTGCTGCGTTCCCGTGAGCCTGTTGGATTTCCGCCAGCCTGTTGAGATTATCTTCATCTCCTCACATGTGAGCCTGTGTGTTTCATCCGTATCGTGGCACAATTACACAGACACGATTTCCAACAAGGCCGGTTCCGTTGCTCGAAGGGTTGGCGGTAAGAATTGCTACGCCGTCTGTGGCTGCATGGGAACTTGGCGAGTCGTCGTTTTTCTCCATAAATCCTGATCGTCACGCGAACAACAGCCACTATTGCCTAAAAACTACGACACAACAGTATCAAGCTCGCCCCAGCAGAAGGACACGAATGACGAGCGCTAAGACGGAGAAAGAGAGACAGGGTTAGCGAGAGCTGACTAGTGCAGGTACGCTGTCATCTCCTGAGGTGGTGGACCAAGCAGCGAAGCAGCACTAGTCAGCTCTCGCTAACCCTGTCTCTCTTTCTCCGTCTTAGCGCTCGTCATTCGTGTCCTTCTGCTGGGGCGAGCTTGATACTGTTGTGTCGTAGTTTTTAGGCAATAGTGGCTGTTGTTCGCGTGACGATCAGGATTTATGGAGAAGGACGACGACTCGCCAAATTCCCATGCAGCCACAGACGGCGTAGCAATTCTTACCGCCAACCCTTCGAGCAACGGAACCGGCCTGTGTTGGAAATCGTGTCTGTGTAATTGTGCCACGATACGGATGAAACACACAGGCTCACATGTGACGAGATGAAGATAATCTCAACAGGCTGACGGAAATCCAACAGGCTCACTGGAACGCTGCAGTTATGGTCGGAGACGCGGAGTTATTTAATATAATATAATAATATTCGCGGGATCCGCGTCGGCATCGCTTGAATGTTCAGAAACACACAAACTAGCCTTCGCATCCGCAGGCCACCACTATGCCTATTAACCTTAGTGGCGAATGCAGACCTCACAAGTGAGTCAGGGGAGAGGAGGTTAGTCTCTCAACCAATCGGGCGTGTAACGGCCCATAACCCTGTAAACTGCATCCTTGTTATTCTCACTCCGAGCTGTGAGTACCCAGTTGACCGTGGGTGTCGGCGCAGTTCAGCACGCGTAAAAAGTCTTTTTACACGCTCCCTGCTACCAGCGCGGGTCTTGAACTCGGGACCTCATGATTCGCAGGCAGGCCTGCAAACCAATCGGCCATATGCGTTGGTTGGTCCGGAGTTATTTAGTCACTGGTAAATGTTGCATCGAGTGCTGTGTACTCTAACACAATTGTAAAAATCATGAAAAAGCGAAAATAAGGCAATAGTGGGGCTGAGTGGTGTTCTGTGGAGGAGACGTCGCTGTCTCAGTATTCAAAGCCGGACCCTGTATTTCAAGTCTGTGGTCATGCTCGATCATAAGTTCCTGTATGGCTCCAGTGCCTTCTCAGCATTGTTGGCGGATAAGCACCTGGATCGTGTCCAATTACTGCGGCTCTGGTGGCTTGAGGGATGTACGGGTGCTCGCCGTGCGCCCCTGCCGGCAATCTGCTAGTGAAGCTTGGTACCTACTGACAGTACTGTGTCAGGGAGATTTTCATCCAGAAGCTGATCTTCCTAGGCTGGAGCTGCTGCTACTCCTGTGCTAGCCCTCAACCACTGGCGCTCCTACTCGGCTCCAATGTGGGCCATTAACCACCCTGCCCGATTTCGCACTGTTGCTATTCCACACCGTCAGCATTTACCTCTGAAGTCAGACCTTGATCCCTCCCACCATATGCTATCTGTCTGTCTGCTTCTCTCTCACACACAGATGTGCGTGCATGGTACACACAAACGCACATGCACACACACACACACACACACACACACATGCACACACAGTGACGCAAACATAAAAATAAAAAAAATACACATAGCCAACTTCTCTGTGTTTGGTGATCATCATCTGTTTTCTGATGTGCAAGCTCACCTCTGATGCCGATTGCTTCCTCGCTTAGACCCGGTCTGCTATTAGACCAGTCTGCTCTCCCTTCACTCGCTTGTAAGTCCTACTTGGAGCAGTAAGGTTGTGTCACTGCTCCTACTAATGTCATTGTTGTGAAAGCGATATCATCGCCATTGGTGGTAATTTTCCACCATGCACGAATCATTGACAATCATCATCTAAGCGTCACGACCCAACCATCCTCGCAACTCCCCTCATTGTGACTAGTGCTGTACCGTTGAAACCTACTTTGCTTCAGTGTATATTCGCTCCAAAGCTCTTGTTTTGTTGCATAGTGATCTGACGCAGTGTGCTATAGCCTATCGGGTAATATGGATAAGATTAGTACAGTCGGCATCGCCTATCGAGTGACCAGGTACATGTATAAGGATACTAGTACAAGTACATGTATACCGGCTTAACGATATCGGAACACAAATAGCACTATGTGTGCAATATTCCTTTCTAAGCTCACGCTGTGCGGTGCAGATAGGTCATGTGTCGTTGCCAACTTGCCGCATGTGCATGTGCAGCAGGAAGGCACCATATGTCGATTACTACTTATACTGTACAGCATTGTGTGCTTACAATTACATGCATCTACGGCCTTGCGGATGCAATTGAGTCTCACATACATGTACATGAAATATTGCTTGTAGTGCGGCATCAGGTGTTAACATACAATTGCTGAATATTTTTCTCGCAATAATGGCCGTATTCACCACAAGTGTGTTTATGTCCAGAGCCAACTCAAGTCCTGTATTATTTATGACCGTGACAACAAGTATTCCGGGCTGAAATTCTTCTATGACAGGCATGAACACTTGCCTTACAATTGTTCGTGATTGTACGAAGTACATATTCGCTGTTGTATCAATTTTGCACCATTTACATTGTAGTGCCACTAGTGGTATCACCTGCATGCGTATTGAGTCAAACAAGGTTACCTCTGTATAAGTATGCTTATCGTGGCTATCAAGAGCTTCCATGCAAATTCCCAGCTGACGAATGGTGTCCAGCTTGTGTTCAGCTCAGCTGGCACTCACAACTCATAATAATTGCGTTCTAGACGCCAGATGAGATGTTTCAGTTACGATGTAGACAAAACGTCCGTGTTCAAGAAAGCCGTCGCTTCATCTTCTGTCCATCCTCAATAGCACGTTCAAGCAAATACGTCTGAAACACAGTAGCGACAATCCGACAGCGGCGACACGCCGTCTTCCCCGAATGAGCTTCTACCGTTCTAATTCAGATTCCCCCCAAAAATGTCAAAATAAATAATAGATTTCCACCAAGCTCGCTAGAATCTTGCGAAACGTCACCATGCACGCATTTCAAGGGTTCGAGGGTGCGTAGATTCTGCTCAGCGGCTCAAGAACATTCGCCAAGCGAAAAAAAGTCGATGAGAAAGATGTAATGGTGGACGAAATTACGAAAATCGGAAGAAGGTATTCGACCCAGTTCGACTATCCTGGACTGAATTGGCAACGTCCAACAAACGGATTCGTATTCTATGGGGTCTCATGAGCTAGTGTGCCAAAGGGCGTTTAGTTGGAGCTTCAGTGCATCACCTTCGCCGAAAGAGGCCCTTTCTGAGATTTGGCCGATGGACTACCATGCATGCAAACACACATTGTCCGATCGCTGTCCGGTACGCGGTGTGTACATGTATATCTACGCACATGTGCGCATGCGCACACAGTTTTCACAGGATGCTTGACTTGGCCTTGCATGGGCTGCTAGCTGTCATAGAGGCGGGCTTGTCCGCATGGTCCGTGTATCCTGTCTTCTCTTTGTGCCGGTTCGGACGCAGCGCTGTGACTGTCGACGGTCCAAATGCCGTCAAGCGAAAGTATATTGCCGTCATCTCCGGAGAAATCGTTCCCGTCAACGGTGAGCAATGACATCCACAGGGCCGGCGGTGCTGAGATACGCTCTACTGGCCCACCGTCAGCCCGTGGCTTTCTGACTCTGCTTCTGTGCGCCATCGCTGGCTTCTGCGCGGTTGATTTTTCATGCAGCATCTCGACGAGATGTCCGCAGATCGAGTTCTGGTTTCGCTCTGTCGTGCAGCCCAGCTACTTCCGCACTCCAGAGACGTCGGAAATTATTTTACAACCATTGACATGGCAGCAGCGCAATGCATCGACGGCATTCGTAGATTTGAAGCACACTCTCGCAGGAAGCTCGCACCATGGGATGACTGCAATTTCCAAGCGGAGTTCGACTAACACTAGCACTACCAATGACACTCAGGATGGTGGACAAGCCACCTCGGATGATGCCACTGTGGGGAATGGTGTGGCGGCGGCTGGTACTCCCACTGGAGATGCCAGTGAATGGACAAGAGTGGCTGTAATCGTGCCATATCGCAACAGAAGCAGACAGCTGCAGAAGTTCGCCTCGTCTTTGAGAGAATTTCTACGAGGGCAGCGCATCGTCTTTGAAGTGTTTATCGTGGAGCAGTCGTTCACAAGCCGCTTCAACCGTGGCGCGCTGTTCAACATCGGATTCGTGGAGATGAATCGCGGACGTCCAGCGGACAAGCAGTTCCAATGCATCGTGCTGCATGACGTGGACTTGATACCCGTGGCGAAGCGGAACACGTACGACTGCATGCAGACGCCCAATGTGTGGGCATGGCAACTGAGTAGCGCTATAGATGTGTACGACTGGGGACTACCGTTTGAGACGACCGCAGGCGGTGTAAACATGTTCATAAGCGAGCGATACGCACAGGTGAACGGTTTCAGCAACAGATACTTCGGGTGGGGAGCAGAAGATGATGACCTTCAGAAACGCATAAAAGTGCTTGGTGGTTATCGACGTCCCGACAAGAGCATCGGACGATACATTGCTCAGAAGTCAGGACACACTGTCGGGCGCAAGAATCCATTGCGTTTTCAGCTGCTACAGATTTCGGATAGGCTTGCGGCGCGACATGAGGGGCTCCCCACAGTGAAATACCGTCTGTTGCAGCGACAAACCGTTGAGCAGTTCACCCTGCTTCGCATAGACATTTGGCCACATGAGGACGGGGACGTACACAAGTTCAGTGATGCCGGCCTGAGCGAGATACAACTACGAATGAAGTACCACTTCGTTCCACCGCCTGAAATCAAGTATGAAAATTAGTACTTTGAAATAGCCACTAATGTGTATCCACACACAGACGCGGACGTAACCGTGCATACACAAACACACAAAATCGAGCACCCACACACACACACACTAGCCTTGACTAGGCTCCGGCGGATTATGCTCGCGAAATCATGGAATTATGCTTTCATGGATTCTCGCATTATGCTCGCAAAATCCTCATATTATGCTTTGGCACGCGGGGATACACATTCACTTTGGTGTACTTATGGAGCCTCAAAGTTTGGAAAATTGTGCGTTTTTCGTACATGTAATTGCAAGTGGCCATAAGTACAACAAAATACATGAGTATCCCCATACCAAGGTGTCCATGCATGCTAGAGATCAACAAAGAAAAGAGAAAACATTGCATCTTCTATTTACTACAAGTACAACTTCTTTTGTAAAAAGATTTTTCATTGCTAAATTTTGTTTGGGTTACCTTTAAAATTATCATGTTCAACTGACTGTCTTCGTAATCGTCATACTCGTCCAACCGATGTCAACCTAACCCTGCGAATAATCAGCTCATCTCTCTCGTAGCTCCACCTCTCCTTCCATCATGATCGAACATCAACAATACCTCACTTGATATTTTCTAATTATTAGAGCAATATCCATAGCCTGCACAGCCACAGCTGCTAAAATCCCGAGCCGGTCACGACTTCGTATCATGAATAATGTACTTCAAAGCACATGTACGCAGAGTCCGTTTGCGGACTACCCATCAGGCATCACTATCTCGTCCACCTCGGGATACCTCGTAAAACCCTGCTTTTCACTGAAAACACTATCTGCATGACCTCCAAACCCTTTACTAAACAGATCACTAGCGCTGCTCAAGTGCATTGTACACAATTCTGTAGCCTACATACTAGAACTGTGGTACAATCATGTAGTTATGCTCCTACCTCCGAAAGGATGCCAAATTATGCTCCAAATTTTCAACCACCCAATTATGCCAATAATTATGCCGGCATAATTCGCCGGTGCCTAACACACACACTCTATCTCTCTCTCTTTATCGACATGTATCTATCTATCTTTAGTACAATTGAACTCGTTGACTTTCCCGGGATTGCTCTGCATGCATGCCTGTTTTTAAATCTTTTTCTCATTTTACCCTCACCTTCTCACAACACTCTCCTAGTGGCCCTGGGCTACTGAAAGAGAATAAAATCGTCTCCGTTTTTTCGGATTTGGGGGCACTCTACTGAACAGACGGGAACCTTTCTGTTTTAGCTCAGGCTTCTAACCAAATGAGGGTAGGGGCGGCGCAGTGCCCTTCTAGTACTAGTGAGTGCGTTCGATTACGCACTTGAATCGATTCATGAATCCATTCGCATGCATTCAAGTCGTTAGATGTTCATGTCATTGTCATGAGCCCTGGAATCGGTTCGGAATCCGTGCACCCTATTCACATCATTCTGGTGATGTGAATAGCGCGATTCGATTCGCGGGCATAATCGAACGCACTCACTGTGATTGAGCGCCCTCTACTCATCGTCGATTTGTGTTGGGGTTTTTCTGCTTCTCCAGGCAATTCAACGAAACTGCAGTCAATAGTCACTTTAATCCAGAGGTGTCATAAAAGCACATTTGTCTGGATTGAAGTCGGGGGTTGACTTCCGTGCTTGCATTTTCCATGGCAAGACAATTTTTGGAAAATGGAAAAATCTACAGCCGTGGCCAAGAAAATCCGACACGGGAGTCAAAAGTACTGGTAACGGCACTTTTTCATTTCAATTACATGTACAGTCAACTTCGCTAATAACGACTGCGGATATAACGACAATTCGCGAATAACGACATAATTTTCATGCCCGGAGCAAAGTCCCATCCAACTGTGACACATATAATGAGACTTCGGACATAACGACACTTCGCGAATAACGACACTTTTCTGATGCCCCGCTGGGTGTCGTTATAAGCGAAGTTGACTGTACATGTACATCATGCACTTTCCAAACACCTATCTGAACTACTGAAGGCCGCAGGCCGCATGAGCCTTGGCGCTGCTTTCGTCACTTGGGTAGGTCTACGAGAAGTAGTAGTAGTAGTGGTTTTTATTATTCCCGTAGCTATGCAGAAGACGTTACTTCAGTAACGTCTGGCGCTAGCCAGGGTCCACACAGCTTTAATTTGGTGTTTGTGTGTTTGTGTCACGCCTGGCGCTATCCCGTATCTGTCCCGTACCATACCGTACCATCAAACACAACTGGCCACATACAGCTGGCCGCACTATTCAAATTTTTTTATCAGGAAAAGCCTCTTGTACGGGCAAGTAGGAAGATCATAACGTGAAACAACTTGGAAGAATGAGTATGAATGCGAAGTGTATGGGGGAATGCATGTAGGGCGATAGTGCCGGTTCGAATCCCATGTAATGCCTGAAAAAATAGGAAAATTGAAAAATTTATAACATCCTTAGGCGGTGTTTACATGAGGCGTTTCAACCCGGGTTGAGTTCGACCCGGGTCAGATTTCAACCCGCCATGTGCATAAAATGAATTGCGCGTTTACATGACGCATTGCGCTTGACCCGGGTTGAAATTTCGCCCCGGGTTGATTTCAACCCTCCCCAAGGGGAGGGTTGAAATCAACCCGGCTCAAGAAAATCGTACAAACGTACTTCTGTGCGTATCTCGCGCCAGGTTTGAACGGCACTGCACTGACGTCACTGCAGATGCAAATTTCGCGCGAACGGATTCACGTGACCATACAGGACTGTAGAAGTGGACTTTTGGCGGCATATCAGTATTTGACCCGGGTCAACTGTCTTCATGTAAACGCTCACCTCTTTTGTCTCTCGTACAACCCGGGCTGAACTCGACCCGGGTTGAAATTTCTCATGTAAACACAGCCTTATTTTTTTGTTTTTGTTTTTTTTTGTTTTTTTTGGTTTTGACGACGCCACAGAAGCTTCTGAGTAAAATCAGTGAGCATGTCATGAAAATAAATCCGAGAAGAAAGAACAAGGCCCAACCCTGCCCTGCCAGTTATTTGGACTTATGGGGGTCGCCATGGCAAATAATAAACATAAAACTGCACACGTTCGGGCTCTCCGCCTTCTCCGTGAAATTATAATACCGTAAAAGAAAACTAGAGGGGAAAAAAGAAGCAACAATGAGGAATAGGATCTGATTTAGGAACCACTTGCAGTCAGTTACACAGGGCAGCGGGCCTCGGCAACGGCCAAGGTAGCAGATGCATCCGCCACATCGCTGACGCGCATGGGGCGTCGCCGAGCACGACGCAAACAAACCATGCTGGAGCGAACCAGAGCAAAGCCAAGTCGGCAGCGAATCCACGCCATTACACGGTTGTACGGCTCCTTCGTCTTGTCGGACAGGAGCCCGGCAATCCGCTTATAGCAGGCTGTTGCCGACTTGCCCATGCCGCCTGTTGAGGAGAGAACGAGAGGTGAAAAAGTTGCATGTTCGATCTCTCGAACACGCTCCTCATAGCAGCGGCGTTTCTCCCGTTCGTGGCGCTGGTAGCAGGAGGGTACTGAGGTGGAGCGATTTGAAGCCGCGAAAGGGTTAAAAACCCGTACGTCGAAGAAAGTGCGGTCAAAACGCCCACCCCAGACACCACTCGCTGCTATATCCAGCCTAGCCTGGGGGTCCGTTATGGCAGAGCGGTAGCGGAATGCTTCCCCAGTTACCGGCTGCAGGTGTGGTTCAGTGGTGACGTTGTTGGCGACCCGTTTGAGGAGACCAGCCGTAACATCTCGTACCTCGTGCCTCAGTGAGGGAAACCCACCCAGAGAGCACGACAAGGCGTGGGCGACGGTGAACGATGCACCACACGGGCAGATCGATGGAAGGTGGGCTGGCGGCCAGCCATAGCGGAGCGCAAGGCCATCCCGGAACTCACCCTTCGAGAGGGCAAAGCCATGGGCCTTCAGGGGTCTACAGGTCAGCCAAGCCGACGCACCCTTCTCCGCCGCCAGACCGACACAGAGCTGGATATCAGTGTTCTGCGCCAGGATGAACTCTTTGGCTGCTTGGGCCGTTGAAGTGCGGGTACGACTTGCCACCTCCCTCTTAGTGGACCGTACCAGGTCCAGCACATGGCCAATCTGGGTGTCCTGGTCCAGAATCTTGCGGACGAGCGCCGAGGTTATCGCTGCCGATGCCCGGAACTGGTCGCCCAAGGTGGTGGGGTCGACTAAGCCGAGGCCTCCTTCACGGCATGGGAAAGCAAGGACCCTTCGCTCACGTGAGTTTACTGGCTTACCGCACAGGGCAGGAATAAGGACATTGGTGATGGTGTCTTCCAGAGGGCCAAGATTTTCAGCAGCACACTCCGTGACTCTGCACAGGAAGGACCAGCGATGCTTCAGGCCTTACGTGAATGCTGCATAGGCAGCCTGTGGCTGGGTTTCGGCAATCTTGGCCAAGGACACGATCTCGTCTTTCCACCCGTTTGCCTTCTGGGAAACATAGCTCTGGACGAACTCCGTCGATCCGAGTGCAGCACCTAGAAACCGGTGGCCGTCGGTGGTAATGTGCACACCAGTCCCTGCAAAGGCGTCCTCAGCTTCCGTCAGGTGACCGGCCTTGACAACCAGGACTGATTTCTCAGCATTTGCTGCGTACCCATATGCCGGTCCTTTCTGTCGCAGAATATCCCACCAAGCGCGTAGTCGTTGGACTCTGCCGCCCGCGGAGGAGTCGTCTGCAAACCACATCTGGATCGTTCCCTCAGCCGAGAGAGCACGAATGAGGGGTAGAATGCCCAGCGCATACATCGGCATCGCGATGGGATCGCCTTGGGTGGTGCCCTCTGCCGACATGATGACGCTGCCCCCAACAAACAGCTTTGCGGGTTGTTGGTAGCTGTTAATAACGACTGTCGCCAGGGATGGGCATAGGTGACGCATGTTGCGCAGGCACGCTTCCCTGTTCAGCGTGTTAAACGCATTCGTGGCATCTGCCATTAAGACCGCTTCGGTATCCTCCTGGTCGAACGCCTGCTGCATGGCATGTATCGCCGCCTCGATCCCGCAGTCCTGGCCTGCACAGAGTTGAAGGGTGCCAGCTGCCTCTTGAATATCCTGACCAATTACGTACAGGATGGCCTTGCCCACCACTCTCCGCATCACCTCGCCAATCCCAATGGGTCTAACCCCCGGGTTCTTGTTGAGGGGGATGAGTCGGCCAGGTACGCTTCCAGCGATCGGGGGTCGACAAATTCGGTCGCCACACGTCGAGCAGAGCTTGCCAGCGCATCGCATAGCGAGTCAGACGCATCGGAGAACATTGTGCACATCCACCTCCATGCCTCAGCGTCTACACCTGACGGGCCGGCTGCGCCATGTGTGTTGAGTACCGCCTTTCTCACCAAGTCACGATTGAGACCAGAGAACCTGACCGGATGAGGCTGAGGAGGGGGAACACCTTGTATCAGGGCCTCCGTGGCTAGGGGCGCAGGGTCAGGGTGTTTGTCTTGCAGGACCTCTTGCACTGACTTATCACCGATGCTGTCATCCAGCGCCAGGGCTCCAGCATTTCCGTTGGGGGCTAGCGATCGTAGGGCGTTGGATAGCTTCCCACTTGTCACCAGGTTTGCAAAGTGGCGTGCATCATCCTTCTCCTTGTTACCCCCGCGGTGGGGCCGGCTAGGTGCTGTGAGCTCCTCTTGAATCGTTCGGCATTCGTGCAGCAGGTCGTGTAGGTCCCCTCTGT